AAACACTAAACAGTTTTAATCATCAATAACAATGTCATGGATAGTGTTGTGGGGCTCTCCCCTTTTTACATAAGATGGACTCGTCCAAAGTATACTTATACTGACAGAGAAAATACCTGCTGTTGAGATACGCCGAGATACAGTCTCGACGTCCGTCGAACTCTCTGCTTTGCTAGAGAGGGACCCGGACGAAGCTTTGCCGAAGGGTAAGGTTTCCTCTAGGGAGGTAGACAGGCCCTGAACCCGTCTAGGCGGGTTCAAAGGGTATATTTTTGGCCGAGGCTACGGGCTCGGAGAAACCCACTTTAAACTCGGCCTTGTGCCACATATATTCCTCGTGAGTGGGATATTAATTACCGAGATTCGTTGAGATACGTAAAGATAGGTTGAGACATACACATGATGTTATGTGTGTGTGTGTGTGTGTGTGTGTGTGTGAGAGAGAGAGAGAGAGAGAGAGAGAGATATTATGGCTTTACTTACAGAGACTTGTACATATACTTTCTACTAACCCGCATTCCTGGACTACTAATCTTCACTTCAAGTCTGTATTCTTACTTTTCATAGACTTATTTTTCTATCTCAATTACTGGCGTTGTTTATTTATTTTTGCAGGATTCCATTCACATAATCCACAACATATAGCATTTTAAATCCAGTGTTTGTTATTGGTATACAGGAAATTTGGGGTTGGAGTCAGATGATTTGGTAAATTTAAACATCGGAATCATGCGCGGAAGCTTACTTAGTTAATGGACTTTTTATTCATTTTCCATCTTCTTAATCGTCTCAATTACTTGCGCAAATCCAAAAGAAGTCTTTAGACACATTTGAAAGTGAAGCTTTTATTGAATTCTTTTATTAAAATTTGTTTAAATTATTTAAAAATACAATGACAAGTAATAATAATGAATTCTTATTTAAATAATATAACAAATTTTAAAAGGTAGCCTTTCTGCAATTGTCATTGCTATTTTGTAAATAATTGTTGTAACATACCTACGGACGATAATGGGTATGTCCCCATTCAAATAAATACAGTAGTAAATACTGTATGTTGGTCTGTAGACGGAAATTCGTCTCCAGCTGTGCTGGTCAAACTTTCTGCTTCTGGGAAGAGATGATCTCTAGACGAGGCTATGTCGAAGAGCAGAGTCTCGTCTCGGGAAACAGCTACCTGTCCCCGTTTTATACGGGTCTACGGGAATTTTTAGCCGAAATTACGGGCTAGGATACCCCATATTAAATTCGGCCTTGTGCCACATCTGACCACGTGAAGGGTTAGATATCTTGCAGTTGGAGATTCGTCTCCATTTGTGTCGGTCAAACTCTCTGCCTCTGGGTAGAGAGTATTCCCAGACGAGGCTATGTCGAAGGGCAGAATCTCGTCTCGGGAAACAGCTACGCGACCCCGTTTTATACGTGGTCTACGGGGAATTTCTGGCCAAGCCTACAGGCTCGGATACCCTACATTAAATTCGGCCTTGTGCCACATCTAACCGCGTGGGGCGGTTGGTAAATATCCTGCAGTTGGAGACTCACTGTGGAATTGACTTGACTCACTTCTAGCAGTTGACTACTTCTTCTACGCGCCGCTGGCGAATCTTATATGTGTTGTTCTTGTCCTAAGTATTATCGTTCATTACCAACCTTGATGTGATTATTTTATTCAGTAACTTATCTCTAGTTTAGAACAATAAGCATGCTTAAATAGCATTGCTTAACATTCTTTATGCTATTATTAAATCCTTTCTAACATTTTTTGGTAAATAATCATGCTTTTTAAAATCCCAAATTTAATAACCCAAAACATGTATTACTTTTTAAATTTCGTGCATTCATTTTAAATTAAAGTTTGCGTATTGCGTTCACAATAATCAAGACAAATGAAGCTTCTGCGCATGACTGATCGAGGCAGACATATGTAAACAACGCTAGTCATAGCTGGCGGGCTGTAGCCGGGACGCGAATAAGGTCTCCTAGACGGTAAACTTCCGCAAACTTTTACTGTTATTTTCGAAATAAGCATGCACATTCACACCAAAATGGAAATTTTCTGGAAATTTTAATTACAATTGGTCTTCGGGGCTTAATCTGCAAATTTACCGATGTTTTATATCCAACTCTTCAGTTCTGGTAAAATCAGGAATCCATTTAATTAATACTTTATCCGGGCATTAAAACATACTCATAGTAAAATTTAATTAAAAAAATAGCACTTATTTTAGTTAAACTTAAATTCCAGTCGCTTTGGTTTTATGGTAAACTCCTAGAATATCATGTCGTCTAATTTGTTTTGCCGTTCTAAATCGACAAGAATTTGCTTCTCAATCGAAGTACGAATCAATAACGACAAGCGTTCTACAGCCATTGTGAATTTTAAAAATGACCGAATTCGATATAAGGTTGGAAAACATCTTTCGTTTGCAACAGACGTGGCAGAGGTGGTTAAAAAAAACAAAAAACAGAAAAGGTGAATCGATTTTACAGTTTCTGACAT